AGGTCTGCACCACACAGACGGTCATCAGCTCCAAGTTCCCTGGAGCTGCCTTTCTGAGCAGCTCCGCATGTGTCACAGTTGGCAGAGACTTAAAATATTCCTCACTCACGTTATAGACAGACGAAGACTCAGAATTCACCTAATGACCCCCATAGCCCTGAATGTGGCTGGGATCACTTCCTCCCTCCCTCTGCTCCCCTTAGGAATTTATTTAGCCACCCGCTGAGGGATGCTTGAGGCCAGAGGCCTCAGGCTGGCATGCTGTACGGGACGCATGTGGTGTTTCTGGCAAAGGATTAAAAGCGTGTTGTCGGAACACACTGGGCGTGCAGGGCAGTGAAGGAGGGCTGAGCCGCTGTTGCTGGGAACTGGAGCCTGCCCCGGGGCTCACCAGGCCGTGGGGGCGGCTGGGCCTGGCCAGTCCAGCCCTGCCCAGGGCAGCAGCAGACAGAGCCCACACACGGGGTGACCTCACACCTGGGCCTGGAGAGCCGCCCCACACAGCAGCCAGCCAGGGGTTATTGTACCCCAGATGCCCATGTCTTTTTCTTTTTATAAAAATTAGAACTGGGGTGCAGGCCAGAGGTGTGGGGGGGTGAGGATTCACCAGAGGCAGAGAGATCTGCTGTGCCCCGTGGGTCACCTTCCTGTCCGGGAGTGATAACGGTGCCGAGACTTAACCTGTGGGCCACCAGGGGTCTCCCCAATGCCCACTTCTTCTGGCCCCGGACATGAGCTTTGTCAGAACCCCCAAGGCCACCTTACAGGGTCTTGGCCTCACTTCTGCAGCCTGTGGCCTCTGCCAGGTCCAGCTGTCACGGAGGGCTCCCAGCTGGTCTCTGCCAGCTGCTGCGAGCTTACGTGCACACACGTGAGCACAGGTGCACACGCCTGGCTGCCTGCGGTGGCCTGGCTTTGGGGCTCAGTGCCCCTGGCCTCACCTACAAGCCTCAGCTTCTGGGGTGGGAGGGGACGGCAGCGAGGAAGGTGTGGGTGGCCCCAAGCTTGGGCCCTGGCGGCCCTGGGGAATAATGGCCACACCTTCAGGCCTGCCTTCACCTTGGAGGCAGTTCTGGTGACCTCAGGGGCTCCCAATATTTTAATCACCTCTGCACATGCAGAAGTTAAAAATGGGCCAACCTCTTGCCCAAGGGCTCCCTAAAATCCCACACCATCAGCAGAGCCCTAAATTCCGCCCCAGGGGACATTCTGATCTCACCTATAATGGCCCGGTTGTAATTCATGGAAACAGAGCTGCCTTTTCTTTCTTTTTTTTTTTTTAACTTTCACATTTTGCCTTTTGCCATTCCCTGGCCTTCAGTAGACAAACAGGACTTCACCGGAAGTAAAGCCTTTGTGAGGACGGAGCCACCTGGCTTCAGTGTGTGGGGGCAAGGGAAAGAGACCGAGGACTGCCGGGGTGGACATCTACGCCAGCCTAGAAGGCCTCGTCGATGGAGCTGGGGTCACGGGGTGAAGGAGAGCAGGCCAGGGGGCCAGGAGGGAGAAGGCAAGGAGGAGCCGTGACGATCGCCGGTGCCCTGAATGTGCCCGTGAGCACGACTCTCCAAAAAGATAAATAACAAAAAATCTCAACAATGACAAGCAGCAAAACGAATCCTCCCACCTAACGCGATTTCTGGCTCCCTCATAGCGACTGCTTTGCCAGCGGTCTCCACTAGTGTTTGTTCTGAGTTGTCTGTAAATGTTCGACAACACGGCAAGGAGAGATAAGTAACCAGGAGAGAAAATTCCTCGCAGGGGAGAAGCACACGGTCCCCACCCCCCTCGCCAGGGCTCTGGGCTTGATTTCGGGGTCCCCTGTGACTCCGTGACCCCCAAGGCCTGCTCCTGGGCCTCGAAGAACTGCCACTCCCTGCCTCAGTTTCTCCATCTGTGCCGGAGAACCCCTAATACCTTCTTCCCGGGGTCACAGGGCGGGCAGTTAGAGGGACTGACTGGGGCAATTTAGCAGCAAAACGCTCAGGGCAAAACACTCACGAAATGGCCAAGGGTATGTCCCTCTGCTGAACACACTCGCAGTGACGCCCACGCGGCCATGTTTGAACATCAGAACAACGGATATTCTACAATTGTTAGTATTTTTGTTTTCCCAGCCTTTACCTAGCCTGTGGCCACCGAGAGTTGCCGGAAAGTTCTGGAAAGGGAAGCCCCTCTGCACCTCGTCTCCTCCTGACTCCCCACTCGTCTGCACCCCCTCTCCCTGCCTTTCCAGGTGCCTGCCCCAGGGCCCAGTGGGGCAGGGCTCCTTCTCGCGAGCACAGTGTGGTTCGTTACGTGCCATCTGCACTCATCTGCAGCGCGCCTGCTCTTTCTCCAAGAAGCTCACGCCACAGGTAGGCACGTGAGCACCCAGGTCCTCTCTCCAGAGGCACCTGGGGGAAAGCCTTAGGGCTGTGGGAAGACAACGCTCCCCACGTCCCCTGGCGTACTCTGGCGGTCGGAGGGGCGTACGCAAAGCAGGACTGGCCAGGACGCCCGGGCGGGGAGAAGCCTCGCTCCTTAGCCTCCAGCGCAGGCCCACTGCACCCCACAGCGTGTCAGGCAGGCCCGTGGCTGCACACAGAGCGGGGGCCAGAGCGAGGTGGTCTCGCCTTGCTGTTACCCCAGGATTCCTGTCGGGAGGCGAAGGCGGACAGCTCCCCTCCTGCTCAAAATTACAGTCCTCGCGGTGAGGCCCCGCCAGTCCCGCCCGCGCCACAGCTTCCTTCATCGGACCAGCGGACAGCGCCTGTGTCCGGCTGTGCGCCAGCTGTTCCCTGCCTGACCTCACAGCTCACCCCTCTGCTTCCTGCGGCTCCCGTCAGGTGCAAGCAGGGACCCTCCAGGCCAGGGCGCGAGCAGAGGTGGGGGGCACCGGCCAGAGGCCTCGCCGCGGTCAGGGACGAGGGCAGGAGGCCGGACGGGCAGGAGCGCGGCCGGCCACGCAGGGTCAGCCGAGTGGGCTCAGCGCTGCAGTCCGTGCACGCGGGTGACGGACACGAGGACCGGATGATGGACGGAGTGCGCGGGGCTTGAGATCTGTGTCCGGCACAACCCTCACTGGGCATTTAAGTAAATAAACACCTTTGCGGTCCAAAACAAACAAGGGAAGGGACAGGAAGGGCTTCCTCGGGACAGTCGGGGGGGTGCCCATTCCACCCTGCTCCGGGGAAATGGTCAGCCTGTGCCTTGGGCCCTGCGGGAGCAGGATGTCCTGGGACTGCCGGACTGCCGCCGGGAGGGGCAGTCTGGGGGCGGGCGCTGGTCTGGGGTCTCCGGCAGGTGGCCTCTCTTCCCCCGCCGGGCAGCCTTCAGGGAGCTGGAAGCCCCAGTGGGCTCGTAAGGGAAGAAGCCAGGAGACCACTGGCCGGAAGCACCGAGCAGCGGAGGGGTCTGGGGACAAAGAGCTGGTCCCTTCTGGAATGGTCTGGGGTGACCTAACTGTGGCTGCGCCTGGAGGCCTCCGTGCCAACACCATGCGCAGGAGAGGACGCGTCTGCCGGTGCTGAGGACGCTTCAACCCCGCGTCTGAGACGGGAGGGCCCGAGAGACACGCAATTTTTGTTTTCCCCTTTATGGCAC